TTTAATCCTGATCTGATGGTGTCAAATTTGCAAATGAACTGGAGCTCAGCAGTTTCTCTTTGGAGTCTGGTCCTGAAGTTTTTTAGCTGTAAGATGGCTACCTTTACATCTGCTATTGTGTGGCCAGGGAGGTTGAAGTGTTCTCCTACAGGTTTTTGTATCATCAGTGTCATCAGTGTCGACCACATTATTATTGCATGCTGTAGTCTGCATAGTGTCCACGAGGACAAAGGTGAGTCATTTTGCCTAGACTGGATTCAAGACACTGCTGAACTTCTAGACCAGTACACACAGTCAGAAAGTGCCCTTGTCATTACTGTTGCACAATCCATACACACAACCAAAATCAGGGATGCTTTGTGCGCCCCCATCATGGGTTTGCATGCTGCAATGGGTGTGGGGGAATTAAATAATATATGTGCGTATATGTACAGAAATATGAATGAATAGCAGTATTTGTAATTATGCCATAGTTATCCTGTGGATGTAGGCCAAATCCGGAAGGCGGCTTTTATGATTTTATATTATGCATTTTGTATATTCAGGCCATGTACCTCATCATGCAGTTTATGCTGTACTGTGATATGTATGAAAAATTTTATGCAGTTTATAAAAACTGGCCATACACAAACACACAACTTAATTGTGTGACATGTTTTGAAATTAATGTGGTGGAGGTTATGCATGCTATTTAAACTTGTCATGTACTTCAAAGCACAGCTTATGAATTACTGTGATGAAGTTCCTCTGAAATAAATGTAATAAACTGCAATTATACTTTGTGTGCACATGGAATGCTTTATTTGTAAACAATCATGTAACAGAAACTCTCAATGTTAAAAACCTGATAGGCAGACCAGCTGCCAGCAAAACTTACAACACAACAAACAAAAATAGTGCAAAATCCAGGGAATAGTGGATGTGAGGAAACGCAATGCACACCAGTGCAAAACACTCAAGTTCTGTTCAGTGCCACCCAATAACTGTAACTATTTCTTTATGTCCACTGTCTCTTCTCCTTGCCCCTTCTAGGCTGCTGCTAGACTAGAATGGAGAACTGCAGGGGATACATCTGGAGATTCCAACTATACAGTTCCCAACCCCAGTATTGTCTAAAGAGAGCATGGTCTGCAGGACATGATAGCATTGAGGTGACTCAGGGCGTGGGGCTGGAGGAGGTGTTGCAGCTGGAGCAGCAGGACCTGGAGCCTGCAGTCTTGTTATCATGAGCACCATTATCCTCTCATACAGTTCTTTTTGATGTACTCTATCATCCTCCCTCAACTTGTGTTCCTGCTCCAAAAGCGCTTCTGCCAATCTCTCTTCACACTGTCCAGCCTCTCTCTTTCCACCTGTCCTGCATCTTTTTCTTGCTGGTATTCCAGCTGCTGGTTTGCCTTCTGTTGAATCTCACCCATTTCTTCATCTCAGATCCGTTTCCTCCTTACCCACTGCATCACAGTTCACACCCTAAGGCTCCTGTTTGTCTCTGTGTGTGCTGTAGAAGTGGAAGGGCCTGGTAAGGCAAATGAAAGAACAAGCTATTGTTTGAGCATGAGAAAAAAATTACATTGCAACTGCTACACAGTGAGTCACCAACTCAAGGTCAAAAGATGCTACTTTTTATCACTGGGTTTTATGTTTTTTCACACACAACATTTCTTGGCTCAGAGTCCTGTGAGCTCTACTCAGCAGGACTTCAAACATCATGGTAAAATGCACTTTACAAATTCCCTTTAAATTATTTATAAATTCTCACTATTTTCCCCACTCACTATGTTTCACTACCGATGGTTTTACTATCTTTCAGGCAAGAGAACATTATAGTTCTGGAGATTCCTTACTGGTAGCATGAATTTCTGTTCCAAGTCATTGGAAGCAAGCCATCCGCCTATGCGAAAGACCTTTTATATGCAGTGGTGTTGTAGTCCCAGGATATTAAAAAGACAAGGTGGATGAGGAATTATCTTAGCTTCTGTTGAAGCTGGTACAATAAAAGATTTTACCTCACCCATCTTGTCTCTTAAAAGACCTTTTTAGATGTTTGGGATTGACCAGCACATCTCCAAATGGAGGGGCTCGTGAGCTACAGAGGCAGACCTAATAAATATGCTCTGCACCAAAATCTCAACAGCCACCTGAAGTTCATACTATGTGAGACAAATCAGCCAGGAGTGGCTTAAAATCCATGGGAAAATCAACTGTGATTAATCTCTGAGCAAAAGTATTGCTAAGCTTAAAATTAACAAAGGTATTGTCAGTGTTAGGCCTCAAACTTCCGCTTTGCAAAGGTAAAAAGGGCACGCTAAGAAGGAAGCTAAGACTTGTGGTCAAAACGCGCTGCAACCAGATAACACATTCTATCTCCTATAAAAGGAGATAAGTTGTGCCCCCGGGCACAGGTACTACATATTACAGGTACATACAGGTACTACACATTACCCGCTTGGGACAGTTAGGACTGAACGCATGGACTATACAAACACCCTTCTGCCTGGCAGAGTTTGGAATACTCGGGTGACTCAGGACAATCTGGCATGGCTGGTTTATACTGTGCAGCATACTGACAGGGAAGGCAATATAAGGCATTTCATTTTATTGCCCCAGCACATCATGTAGACATAGTCATTGATTTCATTTGGAATTGTAGTTACTCAGGACCTCAGAAAATCAAGCCCCTACTTCGTTATTTGGTTATTACTCTGCTGAATGTTTTAGCCTCAGTGTGGATTACTGCAGACGTTCTCAACCTTTTTCTTTCTGAGCCCTCTCCAACATGCAATAAAAACTCTACGGCCTACCTGTGTCACAACAACTGTTTTTCTGCATATAAAAGTCAGGGCCACGTTAAGGGATAGGAAGCAGGGCAGTTGCTCGGGCCCCACGTCACAGGGGGCACCGCAAAGTATTTACCTGACAGAATCTCTGAAGGCTGCAAAACCTGATGAGCCAGAGGTTTCAAATGATAAATGGGAGGAGTGCCTGAAATTCCACTGTGGAGGATAATCTCATTAATTCATTATGCTGAGCAAATAACAAAGGTAAATTCAACAGTTCAGTTACCATCTAATTAAGTTCACACCCTTTTGCAATGTTCAAGCCACTTCCTACGGAGATTATCTTCTTCCTTGTTGTCTCAAGTAAAATAAAATGTCTCCTTTCAAAGGCATGACCTGCCCCCCGCACAATTTTTTTTTAAACGGATTTTTTAAGTGTTTTGTTGTACTTCACTTTTTTATGCTGCTTTGTATTAGCAGGAAATTGATTTAATAACTCAGATGGCTGGTTTACTTGGATGTAATTCACAGATTTAAAATGACTGTAGTTTATATCCAATGCTATTTTATTTAATTTTGTAATTTTACCAGCTTCATTTTTAAAATATTGTAATAATGTCCTAAATATCCACCTTCATATTTAGAGTCTTGATTAAATAGGAGGGGGCTCTTTGCAAAATATTTTGGCCTATCTTTTTAAACATTTGAATTTAACACTGATAAAGACATAAATGTACTTCATTAGGAAACATTCCAGCTGACATCAGTAAAGGAATGCAGAGTCTTTTTAACACTCATTTTTAAAGTTATTTGACATTAAAAAGTTCAGCAAGATACTTTTTCTTTTTGTGTGTGTGAGTGTGTCTGTTGGCAGTCCACTGCCAGCGTTGGTGATCAGGCAACATCTAAATCTCATGCATTGTGTTTATTCACTGTGTATGTGTGTGTGTCAGAGACAAAGAATTGGGCAGTGTCTCCAAGGTATTTGTCAACGTTTGCATGTTTGTCCAGGGTGTCTGACATTTTTCCTGTGTGGGGGTGAAAATGTTTGTGAGGGTGTGTCGTGTGTGTCCATTTCCCAGAGGTTAGGGCTAGGGGGACCATCAGATCATCTAGTCTGACTCTGACCTCTTATGTATGTCAGTGAGCTGGTGTGTTGTTTGGTAGTGTCCCTGGGGCAAGCAGTGTACCCAGTGGTGGAGGTTGGTGTGGCAGGGTGTGTCTGGCTGCGCATAGCTGGCAGTCTGTCAGCAGGTGAAGTGAGAAGTGCGGGAAGGAAGGGCTTTGCGGGGGTGGCCCGCTGCGCTGCGGGCATTGCGGCGCTGACAAGAAACCCAGGTCCCTCGAGGAAGCGGTGACCTCTTTTTACGCGCGTCTCTCTCTGCCCGGGCCGGCTCCTGCTCAGCGCCTCTTGGCGCGCTAGGGAGGCGGGAGCTGGGAGCGGGTCCGGGCTGTCTCGCAGGCGGCCGCCGAAGGAGGAGGGAGGAGTAGGAGAGAGGGGCCGGCGCGGGGGCAAGGCGGCAGCTGGCGAAGGATGGCAGACAACGACCCGCGGAGCGCGCAGGAACTCTCGCAGTTCGTGAGTGCGGGTCCCAGCAGGGCGGGCCGGGCGCAGGGGGGTCACAGCCCGGGAGCCGCCCTGCCACACGCTGGCTGCCGCTCTCCCGACTCTCCCTCTCTGGGGAACACGGTCACTGTCAGTAACCCAGAGAAGCGGCTACAGGGAGGGAGGAGATGCCGGTTCCTCTGCAAAGCCCCAGGACACTGCCGAGTCCGGTAACAGTAGTGGCAGCTCCTTCCTAGCGCCCCACGGCTAGGGGGCAATAGCTCTGCCCCACGCTGGATTCTCACCTTTTGGAGTCAGTGGCATAAACCGGAGTTTCCCCAACAAGAGGGGGGTGATAGAAGAATGTTCTTTGTAAACCGCAGCAGCTAGTCAGGCTAGTTCAGCTTATCAGGCGTTTAGACAAGGAAACAGGTAAGGTTCAGTCCCAGTCAGCAGCTCTTACTGAGACACCACCGGAAAATGTAAAGCGCTGGAAAGTTTGTTACCCAAGTTGTGTTTACACTTAAAGTTTCCTTAACTAATCTTGTTATTTGGCCCTCTGTGCCTGTTTTCCCACTTCTCAAATGAAGATAATGCTGTTTCACTTCCTCTGTAAACCCTTGAGATCTAGGGATGAAAAGAGCACTTACTAATATAATATAATCGTAACAAACAGTATGGTAATAGGTTTCAGAGTAGCAGCCATAGACATATAGTCTATATGCATCCGAAGAAGTGGGCTGTAGCCCACGAAAGCTTATGCTCTAATAAATGTGTTAGTCTCTAAGGTGCCACAAGTACTCCTGTTCTTTTTTTAGTATGGTAATATTGTATTAAGAGCTGGTGTACACTGGCAGCGCTTTAAGTGGCTTGTGTGGTCACATCCCTAAAAAACACGCCTCCACGAGGGGCACAGCTCCCAGCGCTGGTGCACTGTCTACACCGGCGCTTTACAGGGCTGAAATTTGCTTCACTCAGGGAGGTGTTTTTTCACACCCCTGAGCAAGAAAGTTGCAGCGCTGTAAATTGCCAGTGTAGACAAGCCCTTAGTGGTACTTCACATTTATAGTGCCTTCCATCCCAGGAGTTCAATATGCTTTACAAATATATCAGAGGGGTTAGTCTGTATCCACAGAAACAATGAGGAGTCCAGTGGCACCTTAAAGACTAACAGATTTATTTAGGCATAAGCTTTTATGGGTAAAAAACCTCACTTCTTTAGATGCATGGAGTGAAAATTACAGATACGGACATAAATATACTGACACATAAAGAGAAGGGAGTTACCTTACAAGTGGAGAACCAGTGTTGACAAGGCCAATTCAATGAGGGTAGATGTGGTCCACTCCCAATAATTGATGAGGAGGTGTCAATACCAAGAGAGGGAAAATTGCGTTTGTAGTGAGCCAGCCACTCCCAGTCCCTATTCAAGCCCAAATTAATGGTGTTAAGTTTGCAAATTAACTGTAGCTCTGCAGTTTCTCTTTGAAGTCTGTTTTTGAAGTTTTTTTGTTGAAGGATGGCGACTTTTAAATCTGTTATTGAATGTCCAGGGAGATTGAAGTGTTCTCCTACTGGCTTTTGTATGTTACTATTCCTGATGTCTGATTTGTGTCCATTCTTTTAAGTAGAGACTGTCTGGGTTGGTCAACGTACATGGCAGAGGGGCATTTCTGGCACATGATGGCATATATCACATTAGTAGATGTGCAGGTGCAGGTGAGTGAGCCCCCGCTGATGTGATTGGGTCCTCTGATGGTGTTGCTAGAGTAGATATGGGGACAGAGTAGGCAATGGTGTTTGTTACAGGTATTGGTTCCTAGGTTAGTGTTTCTGTGGTGTGGTGTATAGTTGCTGGTGAATATTTGCTTCAGGTTGGGGGGCTGTCTGTAAGAGATGACTGGCCTGCCTCCCAAGGTCTATGAGAGTGAGGGATCATTTTCCAGGATAGGTTGTCGATCGTTGATGATGTGCTGGAGAGGTTTTAGCTGTGGGGCTGTACAAGATGGCCAGTGGTGTTGTTATTTTCCTTTTTGGGCCTGTCTTGTAGTAGGTGACTTCTGGGTCCCCATCTCGCTCTGTCAATCTATTTCCTCACTTCCGCAGGTGCCTGCATCTGTAATTTTCACTCCATGTATCTGAAGAAGTGGGTTTTTTTACCCACAAAAGCTTATGCTCAAATAAATCTGTTAGTCTTTAAGGTGCCACCAGACTCCTCATTCTTTTTACAAACATAGTTAGCCTCACAACACCCATGTGAGAGAGGTATCCCCATTTTGCATACAGGAAACAAACACAATGAGATATAATTGTGCAGGAGGCAAAGAAAATATATTCAACTTTTAATTACTTGATTCATCATCGGTTGGGAGTGGGTACCTGAGTGATACCTTCAGTCTGTGTGATTGTGCCTCAGGATGATCTTCTTACTAATTAGATTGCTAGTTACAGCTCCTCTAAGCCAATCTGGAAAAGAATAGTTGTATTTGTTCTTTCATGTGTTCATACATAGAGTCATAGAATATTAGGATTGGAAGAGACCTCAGGAGGTCATCTAGTCCAATCCCCTGCTCAAAGCAGGACCAATGCCAACTAAATCATCCCAGCCAGGACTTTGTCGAGCCGGGCCTTAAAAACCTCTAAGGATGGAGATTCCACCACCTCCCTAGGTAACCCATTCCAGTGCTTCACCATCCTCCTAGTGAAATAGTGTTTCCTAATATCCAACCTAGACCTCCCCCACTGCAATTTGAGACCATTGTTCTTGTTCTGTCATCTGCCACCACTGAAAACAGCCAAGCTCCATCCTCTTTGGAACCCCCCTTCAGATAGTTGAAGGCTGCTATCAGATCCCCCCTCACTCTTCTCTTCTGCAGACTAAATAACCCCCATTCCCTCAGCCTCTCCTCGTAAGTCATGTGCCCCAGCACCCTAATCATTTTCGTTACCTTCCGCTGGACTCTCTCCAATTTGTCAACATCGCTTCTGTAACAGGGGGACCAAAACTAGACACAATACTTCAGGTGTAGCCTCACCAGTGCCAAATAGTGGGGAATAATCACTTCCCTCGATCTGCTGGCAGTGCTCCTACTAGTACAGCCCAATATGCCGTTGGCCTTCTTGGCAACAAGGGCACACTGCTGACTCATATCCAGCTTCTTGTCCACTGTAATCCCCAGGTCCTTTTCTGCAGAACTGCTGCTTAGCCAGTCGGTCCCTAGCCTGTAGTGGTACATGGGATTCTTCCGTCCTAAGTGCAGGACTCTGCACTTATCCTTGTTGTACCTCATCAGATTTCTTTTGGCCCAATCCTCCAATTTGTCTAGAACACTCTGCACCCTATCCCTACCCTCCAGCGTATCTACCTCTCACTCCAGCTTAGCGTCATCTGCGAACTTGCTGAGGGTACAATTCATCCCATCATCCAGATCATTAATAAAGAGACATCAGTAAGAGCCAATGAACTTCTTAGCCATGCATCTTTCACACACTGCTTTTCTAATTTGATTTTCCTTCTATTTCATCACAGTATTGTTAGTGAAATTATCACACCATGTTTTATTTTTCACAGAACAGAAAGTGCTTCTGAAGTGTCAAGACAGTATATTCTTTGCTGATTTGGGTGGATGTTTTAATTAAATAGTTATTTTTTACAGGCAGAAAACCTACTACAGCAACTGCAGGAGAACTTTCAAGCTTTGACTGAAAAGTTAACTCTGAGAAATATCCTTTTTTATTATTCTGTATGTTACTAGATTAATAGAGCAAGTTCAGTAGGATTTTAAATAAGCTTATATAAAAAACACTAACTATTTCACCTGGTTGGTTTATCTGATATTTTACTTTGAGAAATCAAGATCTGGATACACTTACACTTCAATTTGGTATTCAGAAAGATCCTGAATACAATTAACTACCCATTTATACAGAAATCCAAATTGTACCCTAGTTAAATATTTTAGCTTTCCTAAGAAGAATGCTGATATTTTATGGTAAAGACTAGCCAGTGTACAGCAGTTTTTGCTGAGGGAAATCTATAAGAAAAGGTGGTAAGTTGTCTGCAATATCCTGAAGGCCAGGTACAATCACCTCGGCAAGAACCGTGAAAGAGGAAAAAGAGAGGTCTATAAGAACTGCTTTTTAAATTAGTGTATCATGCATAACAAATAGAAAGTACAGACAAACTTTCTTTTAGCCTTCCATGTATAGGGAAAGGAGAATTGGACCCAAAGAGAGAGAAGCTGAGAACAAAAAGGGCTCTGAGGTCTCGCTCACTAATTAACAATACAGAAACTGGGTCACATATCTGGAAACTTGTTACAGCTTATCTTGTGCAGCAACCAACTTCCTATCTTATTCCCTCCCTGCTCCCCCCCACCACATTTTTGTAATTCAGCTTCTGTGTACATTTTGATTGCATATTTATGTTGTTCATGGTTGACCTTACAGGTAGCATTAGTAGATGCAGCTGTAATTCACTATGGCCTCCTAGGTAATAGGGTGTTATACAGCATAATTTCTCTCTTTCAGAGCAACTTCTTGAGGCACATTTCTCACAAAAAAAACAGTCTGGTAGGAAGAAAGCTGTTCTAACTCCACTGAGTAGGTAGGCATTCAAGTAAGCATTCAAAACACTCACTGAGCACGGCCCTTTTCAGATACTATAAGACTATTATTGCAATACAATTTTGTAACATTCCTTCCAGCTTCAATTTTACATGAGATAGATGAACAGTGAATGGGTATGATACGGAGACATCTGGAAGAGGAACTTCTGACTGGTAAACATTTCATAGAAGTGAAAGTCAGCAAAACCGTACTCTTTTTATACATAACAATGTTCTCTTTAACTTTTTACTGAAAGAAATGGGTGAACGTATTGATGACCTTGAAAAGCATGTCACTGACCTAATGGCACAGGCTGGGACAGAAAATACCAATGAGGATCTGATGGTGAGAGTTACTCTGTAAAACAAAGTTGTGTGTAGTTATGCTGTAAGCTGCTTCCACACTACTGGGGAGGAAGGCCTGGTGCCCACGTTCTCCATCCCTTTTAAAGGTGGGCATGTGAGTTACAGTTTGTGACTATGAAGGTTGGAATGGAAGGAATCTGTCCTCCCACTCTAGCGTCTCTCTTATATCAAGCTCATTAAGGGTCCATTAAGAATTGTCTGCATTGTCTGAACCAGTTGTCAAACTTCACTAGTAGACAAAGTCCTGGTGCAGACAAGGCTTAACACAGATGAAAGATTGTCTCTAAATCACAGAGAGCATTATTTAGAGAAATTAAGTTTTTGGTGCTTTGTTTAACAATGAAGGCTTCCTATGCATTACATCTTTACATTTGGTCTGGATACCTGAAGCTCCACTAAAATGCCAAAAATAAATGCTGTGGAGTGCATATATTCCCTCAATGGGAACTGCACACCCAGATCCACAATGTATTCTAATAGACTATCACCTTGTAGATTCAGTTTAATATTAAGCATTTAAATTGAATATCTCATAAGTAACAGTTTGAGACTAACTCAGAAAGAGAACTTATGTAAGTTTACACTATGTATTTTCAAATCCTGAACTCGTTTTAGCAAATTTCTAAGGTGACATCCCAAGAACACGGAGCAAAGTTAATGCCTAAAATTGCCTTAGTTTAGGCTCCCATTATATCCTGAATTGTAGTGTATGGGGGGTAGGGGCGGAGTCAACCATATTGTAATTTTGCATCCTGACAGAAGATTAGCACCTGATTTTCAAATATCGTTAAAATATTTTGCCATGTAAGTCTGCATTTATTTGGAATCTAAATTGTATTTAAAAAAAGGCTGAGGTCATTTTTAATAATTTGATATGCCTGGGATTTGATTCTGCTAACAGCATGCACTATAGCAGGGATCGGCAACCTTTGGCACGTGGCCCATCAGGGAAAACCGCTGGTGGGCTGGGACGGTTTGTTTACCTGCAGCATCTGCAGGTTCGGCTAATCGCAGCTCTCACTGGCCACGGTTCGCCGTTCCAGGCTAACGGGGGCTGTGGGAAGCGGCAGCCAGCACATCCCTCAGCCCACGCCGCTTCCTGCAGCCCCCATTGGCCTGGAACGGCAAACCATAGCCAGTGGAAGTTGCGATTGGCCGAACCAGCGGACGCCGCAGGTAAACAAACCATTCTGGGCCGCCAGCGGATTTCCAACGGGCCGTGTGCCAAAGGTTGCCGATCCCTACACTATAGCATGCTGCATTTTTAAACTATTTATTTTTCAGTTAGTTGTATATAAAATTAACAGGAAAAATTAAGACTTTATCACATACCTGAACTATCACAATGACCCTAATTTGTAACTAAAGAACTGATGAACCAATGAATGGTGCCTAGATCTCTGGACAGAAGCCAGAGAAATAAAAATAAAATTTAAAAAACTAACACCAATCAGAATACTTCATAGTTATATAGTTGTCTCACTTTAATTGTCCTGGAAAATATCACCAAATACTACTTCTATTACCACAATTTTCCTTTAACCCATCTGAAAAAAAATCCCTGAATTTAAGATAAATGAGTTGATTTTTGTGATTTAAAGGAACCCATATTAAACAGAGCAAGGAAGTGCAGTAAATCATTATGTGCAATATATTCTTCTGTCACTTCTGATGCCTAATTTCTGTGGAAAAACAAAATATTTCATAACATTGAAACCACCATCTCAAATCTTAAATTAAGATGTTAATTGTACAAGAATGCTCCTATTATATTGAACCATATTAATTAATTGAATAAGCCAATAACTTTTTTTTTTTTGGTCATAGCACTGAAAATGAGAACATACTGATCAAGAAATACAGACTGATTCTGTATTACATTCTATTGAGAAAGAGGAAGAATGTCATTTACAAACAGGATGTGTATTTCTACAAAATTCAAGTGAAAATACCGCACATTGTAAAGGACTTCAAAGGGTAAAATTTTTAGTCTTGCACCATGACTGAAAACTATAACATCTATTAATATTTCAATCACAAAGAATAGCTCCAGTGAAAGAAAAGTATATAATCAAATTATGTCATACAAGATATGAAGTCTCCATTTTTTATTACTGATCCAATAAAGGAGGAAAGATGAGTTATGACCATCAGACTAATGACACATTTTACTTAAGATTGCCACAGAAGAAACATTATCTTATCAAGAGATAAGACTAAATTTGTATACAATATTCATTGCAAAAATCCAAAAATATATATAATGAATCTGCCCAGCCATGTAATTTTTAAAATGATAAAGATTAAATAAAAAGCTATTCATTTTCAAAATAAATGTTTACATTTGTTTCAGAATTTCCTGGTTTTTGAGTTTAATAGTCCCAAAATAACTGAATCCTGTTGTGGCAATGTATTTCCACACTTGCAATAGTGTATGTGTATGAACCCACATTATTTTATCACTCTCTTAGATTCAGTGTGCGCACGAGCTCTCTCTCAGAATATGTACCCATACTATTAATGCTGAAATATAAGATTTTTATCTTTTTATCTGAGTGATATAGTCTACTTTGGTGCATAGACTATATTTACACTACAAACTAGGACTGTGATTCCTCTGCTTGAATATGCACGCTCTCACTAACTCTCATCAAGCTAGTGAAAATATAAGTAGCAGTGTAGCCATATTAGCATGGGTAGCAGCACCTATTGGTTCAGGAGGGTTTGTACTAAGCACGGCTAAGCCGTGCCTCTGCTGCCATTACCCATGCTACCATGGCTACATGGCTATTTATACTCACGCTAGTTCAGTGAGAGCTACCATGAGTATGCGTACATAAGCAGGAGAATCGCACCCCTAGCTTGTAGTGTAGACATTAGCCAAAGATGCATCTTGTATTCAGAGGTGTGTAAGTACAGATGAATTTCCAAGTTGCTTTTTCAAAATTATACACAGAAAAGGACTGTGCACTTAAATAGAGCCCTCAGTTCTGTCTTGCTACATACCTCTTTTCAAAACCCCACCAAAATAGTGCATACCAACATTGAGGTATGCATACATCTCACCATACAATTTGTAGTAGGAAAACACAGCTTACCCAAATACTTTCCCCAGCATGAGGGGTTGAGCTCAGAAAGGATCCCATTTTGAATATAGGATAGGTTTTGGAACATGAGATAATGCTATCATACATGTACTTAACAAGATAGACTCGACAGAATACATTAAAGAAAACTAATGAACTTCAAGGATATAAGACTCCAAAAGGATACTATTACCAGGTAACATCTTGCTGGAAATGGAATTTAATGGCATTTGAACACATCTTTTACGGGGTACAAAACAAAGGTATGAGTAGGTAAATAATATTGTTTAGAAAAATGCTACTTTATTTGTAATCCAGAAGCATTTACTATGCACCGAGCATTGTTCACACAAGGAAAGACCGTCCCTATCCCAAAGAATTTACAGTCTAGGAAATAATTTCCCAATTAAGATATTTACAGTGCAGTTTATATCTGCCTTTTCTTGAATGCACCCAAAATTAACTCTAGTAAAGGAAACAAACAGGAAAAGACCAATGAAGAGAAGCAAGTTAATCATTCTCAACAATAGTGTTTCAGGGAGGAGTGCACACTTAAAACTACTATGGATCTTGTTTCTTCACCCCATCTCCCTTCCGCTGGCTTGAGACAAAAAGCAGGAATGCAGTAGTACAGGAATCAGTCTTCCAAAAGTGGAACACTAGAATAAAGCAGTTATTTCTGAGGGCTTCTTTAAAGTAGAAAAGTTGCATCAATCTAAGAATCTATTTAAAAAAAATATCAACCTAGTTAAACAAGTTCTAATCCCTAACAGACACATGTAAACCAGTTTCATTGTCACATAAATCTGTTTGCGCTTTGTTAATACCAAAACAAGCTGAAATTATTTAAGCATGGATTACACAGGTTTAAGCAAGGGAGGAGTTTCACCTCAGTCTAACTAGATCTATTTAAAACACTATCTCACTCCTGCTATATGGACAAGAAAAGGCTAAGCTAAATAAGCATACTAAACCACTGATCAACTAAGCATCTACCCCTCTCCTGCATCAACTGGTCAAGCCAGTTCTATTTAGTGTAGCAGGAGGAACAAACAAAAATAAAATGATTAACTGCTTTTCAGCTGTTAAATTGTTAAAATTAGTTCTCAACTATTTAGTGAAAGGCAGAGTCCAGGATGGACCCTGAGAGTCAGTGAACAGTTGACCAGGCTTTAAAAAACCTTGTAGCCCCTGCTAGTGCATGTTTATCTTTGACATTACCTGGGACACTTCTCTTTCCCTTTATAATGCAAGTGCCTTACTTCATTGTATCTAAGAAATTATAAAATTTAATGAGCAGCATCAGTTGTGAACTCTCCCACCAGCCTAATCAAGTTTTGCAGATCTTTCCAACTACATGGATGCCTGAAAACCCCCATTCTTGAAACCACTTCAGAATCTTCATACCCATGCTCCAGATTATTGGAAGCATTTCTGCCAGGTTGCTTCAGCCTTTCTAGGAGTTCCCAACAAACCTAAAAGAGCAATAAGACACCCCCATCCTGTAATGGTCTTTCCCCTAAGCCTGTGGTTTTCAAGGGTCACGGAATGTAAGGCACTGGGTCGTAGCAGCTCTGGTCAGCACTGCCAACCGGGCCATTAAGTCTGGTCAGTGGTGCTGCCCGGCTAAGGCAGGCTATTCCCTACCTGTTCTGACACCGTGCTGCACCCTGGAAGAGAGCCAGCAGTAAGTCCAGCTCCTAGGCGGGGGGAGATATGGGATACCATACGCTTCCCCTGCCCCAAGCACCAGCTCTGCACTCCCATTGGCTGGTGGGAGGGCGGTGCCTGCAGGTGAGAGCCGCACAGAGCTGTTTGTGCGCCTCTCTCTGCCTAGGAACCGGACCTGCTGCTGGCTGCTTCCGGAGTGCAGCGCGGTCCGCAGTGCCAGGACAGGCAGGAAGCCTGCCTTAGCACCCCCGCTGACCGGGAGCCACCTGAGGTAACCCTGTGGCCCAATCCCCTGCCCCAACCCTGAGCCCCTTTCTGCACCCCAAACTCAGCCCCACCCCAGCCCCTGCACCCCCATCCCAGAGCCTTGACCCCTCCTGCATCCCAGCCCTGAGCCCCCACAAACCCTGAACCCCTCATCACACCCCAACCCTCTGCCCAAGCCCTGAGCCCGTCCCATGCCCCAACCCCCTCATCCCCAGTTCCATTGGGTTGCAGGCATCAACAATTTTCTTCAACTGAGTCGCCAGGAAAAATGTTTGAAAACTACTGGCCTAGATAGAGTGACTCTCAGTGGAATGGTGTTGTATGGGAGAGATGCTCCTAAACTATATTTGGTTGAAGATGAAGTATGTTGTTCTTAGGACCCCATGAGAAAGCACAGAATCTCTAGTTAGTACAAACAAGGTAAGAGGCAAAAGGATGGTGAACTAGAAGTGTGCCCGTGGGCTATATGCAATGGTCTAACAGAGTTTTAGTCCAATTTGTAAATGTATCTGAGGACGGGTCAATGAGAAAAAAAGGTTTATGATGAGGGTGAAATTAGCCAGGGATACCAGGAAAAAGTTATGGATGTTTATGGAACCTGAACTATGAACTTCTTTAGTTCCAATTTTAATAAAAACAAATTTTATATTTTAAATTATTGAGATAACATATATAAGTCTTGGGCATTTTCTTAATATAAAAGGTGATTTGTTTTTTAAAATAATCTTCATGTAGATGAATCACTACAAGCACAGAGAGTGGGGCGGGGACTCCTGTAGTGCTGCTTCTAAGATGCCCAATAGTCTTGGCCCTGGATCCCTGTTCATACAGTGCTTATAAAATTAGCAGGACTTTTCATATAATTTTTAATATTTTGTATAGCACCTAGAAATACATTTTTACATAGCAAACAATGAATCATTCACCATAGTTAAGTACAGCCATATGCACTAGTTCTTGGGGATCAGGGAATGCAACAAATTCAGAGTTACTAGAACAAGCTGTGGAATACCAGTTCAACCTGCATTTCTCAAAATGGCTGGTGCATTTGCCCACAAACAAATAAAAGACCTTTTCTGATTTAGTTAGAAGTGGTTTTCAGTCTGTTTTATAATGAAAAATGCATATAATGATAAGTGTCTAAACTTTAGTTGTAGAATAGCAATTCCATAATCATAACTTTATAGTGAAGAAATCACACTTAAAGCCTCTTTTTTCAAACATAGGAATGAATATATATATATATATATAACACACACACACACACACTTTTTTAAAGATATGCAACAATTGTATTTCCAGAGAATTTTGCTTGCTTAGTATTTCACCCTCTCTTTTCAGTGCTAATGGTTTCTGGTTTCCATTACCAGACATGAACAAAATATCAGGACTCTGACAAAAGTGACAAGCCATTAACTTCAAGAGGTGTACCTTAAAAGGCAAATACTTTTATTATTACTATTATTAAAGATAATAAGCTAAAGGCAAAAACAATACAACACTACTTTTTATCCATTAAAAGGCTACAGTAAAAGTTTCTCATGTACATTTGTTTCAACTTGTCATTTTTTTACATATTTTTCTAAGAATAGAATTGTGTTAAAAAAATATATTATACCGAGGTTGACATTTGCAGAGTTAAAGTCCTTTAATTCAAAAGGAATGATCCAGCTATTGCATTTCTGAAATCAAATGGTTCCAGACTTCATGTCTTCTATTTTTTCAAATGAAATTTTACAAAGTTTTTAAATAAGAGTTCAAAACACATTCATAATAAAAAATGTAAATCAACTTTTATATACAAAGGATAATTATGTGTATGTGGAGGTGGACTAAAAGAGAGGGTAAGTGTCACAGAATGTCAATATCTGTATTTGGTAGAATAGTCTTTTGGTGACACCACAAGACCTCTACCTTTACGAGCTCCTCTATAAACTGTTTCTATAATGTCGATCATCTCTTGCTTGTCTTCCATCGCCCAGTTAATCTTGTTGTTGTTACCTGTACCTAAATCAATCATGATGTGTTTATTCCTTTAAGAGGAAAGAAAAAGAAAAAGAAAAAAAACAGGTCAATATGCTAAACTACTCTCTTTCCTAATATTTCACAAGACTCAAGCGCCCTGCAATATGTAGCTCTACCACCATATCCGTGTAGGTCAGCAAATAAGTATTACACTAAATGGCAGAATACCAGAATGGTATTTGTTATGGTCATGCTCAGGTTGAAAGTTGATAAATACTATTTTAAAACAGGTAGGCTTTCTGTTCCTAAAGTTACATTAAAAAGATACAAAGATGACCTGCACCAAGATTGTAACATCAGAGATTTATGTTTATTCCTAGGAATAGCAGTCTTCATGTTTTCCTCCCACTGCCTCCCCCCTACAAAAAAATAACATTTCTGAACAAAGTCCCTTGCTAAAAAGCTCTAGACGTATTTGTCCTTTAACATATTTTATCAATTAGAAGTAGACCTAGTGGTTCAAGAACTGAATAATGTGGATAGTTATCTATTATGAATATTTTATCTCTGTGTTGTTTATTTAATTGGCATGTGAACAAGATGTATTTTTTTTTTTAGAAATTCAAATTTGAAATTCCCTAGGGTGCCAAGAATTCAAATGTTGTACTAATCTATGAGAACAACAAAGTGAAGTGGATCAGTGTACTTTTATTTCCCCAAGAAACCAAAAAGTACAAGCACAAGTAATTTGAGGTATTATTTGTAATTACAGAAAAGATTTAATTTTATGTTGGCAGTGTCTTTAAATGTTGCCACACTTCAAAATGTGAAGCAAATACAGAGGAATGAATGCAAAAAGTTTAGCAGTTCTACCACTCTAGGAAATGTAAGACATTTCAACTATGAGATATGGATATTGTTATACTTACACATTTGATATTTAAATGTAAATATTTTAATTATATTTAGGACTTGTTTCTGTAAATCTAACTTCTAAAATCAGCTATGTGCATATTCAAACATGCATAATTGCTGATTTCATAGGTAGTGTTGTGTGCAGCTGGGTAGCAGGAAGGAAAAAAGCTCAGAATGCTTTTTTAAAAACTCTGCTTGAGAGGTGAATGCAATAATGCTGATTAAGCCAGATGGCATACATTAATACACAGTAAGATATAAAACAATGCCATTTAACTTCCCACTGTACTTTGAGATGAAGATGGCACTAGAGTGAAAATTCAGCCCACAGTCAGGATCTTAGGGTTCATCTACATTTAAAATGCTGCAGCTGCCGCACTTCAGTGAAGACCTATGATGATGGGAGGGGTTCTTCTGTCAGGATAGGTAATCCACCTCCCTGATGGGTGGTAGCTAGGTCAACAGGATAATTCTCCCGTCAATTTAGCGCTGTCTACACGGGGGGTTAGATGGGTTTAACTGCGTTGTGTAGGGGTGCAGATTTTTCACACCACTGAGTGACATAGTATTACTGACCTAACTCCCTAGTGTAGACCAGGCTTTATTTGCAGTATCATCTTGGTTCATAACAGTGCTGTTTTTAATTCTCAGGCCTGGAAGTGCTAAGTGGCAATGGGTCAGGGCATCAATATTACTGAAGAATTGGTACAAGGTGTTAACATGTATTAGATTAATTGGGGAAGAGCTACACTGAACTTGAATGCAATTACTTGTACATAAGCACAATACCCTCTTAAATTTTTTTTTTAAATACACGAGCATATATAAAATGCATACAATACATTGCCTTTAATTATAGCATGTAAGCCCCAATACACCAAATTAAATTATATAGTAGAAATAAGGCATACCTAAAGAAAAACATGACTGTACAGGGATCATACAACTCATACATCTTGTTGAAGTCTGGTACTTCTGTGATATCCACAAGATAAATAACAGCAAAATTTTTTACCTGTACAGGAGAACAAAATTAAAATGACTAAACAGAGCAAAACACACTAGCAAGCCTTTAATAACTATATAAGACTGATCTTTTTATAGAATGTTGACAGATTTTAGAAAAAATAATATGCTTAAGTTATTGCAAT